ATATAGTATATATATATATATATATATATATATATATATATATACCACCTACTGCACTAGATTCACTCCATGACTAGGCATCTCCAATTCTCTCGAGTAATCTCCGCATAGTTGTGATAAACTTCCATATTAATTGAGAAAACATTGCTATTCTTTTCTTTATTTCCAGGACTTTTTCCTGGGACTCCTTCATCAAAGCCACTCTTGAGACGCTAGTGCAAGTCCCAGAGCTGCTAGCTCTACTTGGTTGAATGAAGTCCCTAGATATGTGTTTCTATTAAACAACAAGCATTCTATATCTGTTATAGGTCTTAGACTAGATGTTGACGACAAGGCGGCGCCTCGGTTGACGTTGGCTTTAACATTGGCTTAGGTTTGTTACGAACAACAATAGCTTCCAGACCTTACACATCTTAATAGACTGGTTTCCTCTAGCAATGACACTGCTGACACAGTCCTCTCGTCTCTATGGCATAGTCACTACATACGACGACGATTGCTTTTGCTGCTACTATACAGACGGGCATGAGTTCATGGGTGCCGCCTCCGTCCTCATCATCTTCTTCTAAACCGCTAATCTCAGTAATCGAAAGGCACCCTTTCCGCCACCTGGGACAAGTCAATCAATAGCAGCAACAATAACCAATGACTCTTGTGGCCAATGTGGCGGTCTCTTGTAGAGGGCGAGTGCTGGTCCGCTGGATATCCAGGCGTCATGGCGATCGAAGCAGGTTGAATTGATCTCTTTGAATGAAGAGATCCTGCTACTGAGTGTATTCCATATATTGAGATCTTCGCTCGTGGTCAGGTTCCGTGGGTACCGGCGATTGGAGGAGCGAAGCGTGAATAGGCTGACTTCACAGATTTGATTATTAGAGGCAACTAGTGTCCCATAAAGGGTAGAAGTGAAGGGTCGGTGGGCTTTGGGCTTTGGGCTTTGGGTCATTCCTCAGTGTAATAGGGGACTGTATGGCGGTCAGTATATATGTTTTTTTTCGATCTCGAAATTTGGAACACATTTCAGAACTGCTTATTGCTATTTGTCAGGGTTCCGATGATGTTACGGCCTATATTAGCAAGTGCTCTGAGACCAATCATTAAGTGTACTTTCGGCCAACTCCCTTTGTTGCCATATAGCTTTCGCCGTCATGAATGAGGCACGCGAACCTATTTTCTATTCGAATTAAGCACATCCAGGCAGTAGTCTTGAATTTTCTGCTGTACTTCACCTCATGACCAATCTCTTAAACTTCTTCGTTCCCTCCTAAACACTTTCGATATCCAGCCCACCCAATCCCTTTTATCTACCATACGTCCCACTCCACAAATTGCAACGCTCGACGCCTTTCACTCCTTCCTAGATCTCGTGCTTTCTACTAGCCCCTTATCTTTCCGAGACTAAGCCTGGCCTGAAGAAACTACGATCAAGCCTAGTGAATGTCTTAAGGAGATTTTATCAATGAGAGGCTCAATATAAGACTCCAAGTCAAGAATTAAAGTAGAATTCCTGATACATACCATGCTTTATGTTAGCTGCACCTTACCGTTACCCTGAAACACATTAATGGTTCTTTTTGCTTTTCCTTTTTGTTTTAGCATCCTCCTTAATGTCACTTAGCTCCCTCCTGTAGCTCCCGGTTCCAATCTAGATTAGAGAATAGAATTGGCTACGTTCTAAGAGCTAGCGGGTAACAAATTTGCTTATTGTCATTCAATTTTGCTCGCCTTTTCTCTTTCACCTTTCTATTTATCCTTTAGCTCTTATAGCTCTAGTCACCTGATCACTTAGCGTTCCCGTACTTCTTTAAGGCCAGGCTGAGTATTTAAACTTACTTACTCACCTTGCTACTTTTTCTCCTTCTTACTACTACTATCAATCTTTCTGCACCCGCCTATCTTCTTGCTTTCGACTATAACCAGGAGCATCTAGCTACCATGACATCAGTTCTTGTATGTATTCATTATTGCCCTCTCTTACGTTCTCGTTTCTCGGAAACATTTACTGACCTCTCGTTATTTAGGGATCTCACCGACCACTGTCACCCGATCTCTATGCAAGGAATATTCCCAAAAGCAAGCGTCGCCGCATCCAGGTCTCGGATACACGATCATGGGACGGTCCCGAGGATGGCCTCAGCGTTCTCAACCACACCTATGAGTATTTTCGAGTAGGGACACATGCTCTTGTCATTCTGCCTCTGCTGTGCTATGATTACCTACAAAAAAAATGCCGGGTACGAGAAGTTCATGTCTCAGGAAGTGCAGAACGATATCCGGGATACCTTGCAGTAAGTTGAGCTAGCCTTAAGCCTTTATAGACTTTAGTGCTGAAATTTCTGTCAAAGAGTATAATATCGAGGTCGAAAATGAGATTGACGGGTTGCTGTGGCTGAGAAATCTGGAGGACTCAAATCCAGATGAGGCTCGCCTTACCCTCTACATCCAGACCCCTAGATACTATAGTTTCGTTCTCGAGAATCAGCGACAGTGCGTTGCCCAGCTTTTCTACTTTTTCGATAGAAAAGATATCAGGGGTCTCAGGGGGGAAATTATCACAGTCGAGATCATCGGACACAAACTCTGGGCACCGAGAAAATTTGCATATGTCGAGATCGGCCACCTTTTCCTTTAAAAATGGCATGCAGGCCTCTTATAGAAGTTCTTTGAATTAATTAATAGGGACCGCTATATAGCGGGCAAGGTGCACTCTATGAATGTTCTCCGTTTCGGTTTCGACATGGAAGACTCGGCAAAAAACCCGGTGGTCCTTACAATTACAGTCGACTATAGCCTCGATCCACCGGCTTGGGTGGACCTCTGTGGAAGCATGCTTAACTGTTTCAAGACAGAGCTCGTCGATGATGTCCCAATTGAGTTTGAACGTGGGGAAGTATTCTTGAGTGTGGATCGAAGAGAAGAACTAAAGATGGTTGGTCTTAAGCCAGGTCAGATTGAGTGCTCCTACGTTCGACCGGAAGCATAATTTCCTCGGGGTCTATTGATGACACCCAGTCCAAGCCAGTTGGAACTGCTGGGGTGGTTCTGGAGATCTTCAAGGCCGGAGCGACGGAGCTCTTGACGACAGTGGTCTTGACGAATCACCACGTCATTCGTACCGCATTGAAGGGGTTTGTGATGCCTTAGCCTTCTTCTGTTGTAAAAGAAGACCCGATTTGGCGTGCACTCGTGAAAGGCTCGATTTGTGAAAGTAGGTTTGCTTCTAACGATCGCTGTCTCGAGGTACAAAGTTTTCTAACAACGGTTTAGAAGTGGACAACCATGGCTACAGCGTCCTCGCCCAGCAATGCTTGGCCAAGGACATCTCGCCTTGTGTTTTTCGGTCCCCCAACTTTGGAGCAATCAAGTCGACCATATCTGCACTGGAAGCAGAGATGGCAGAGCTTGACGTGGATATACCCGTCTTGGAAGGAGAGGGGCTGGAGGAGATCGAGGAAGATATTGAGAAAGTAAGGAGGCTCATCCGGAAAGTTCAAGATCCAGATTATCCTGTCCAACAACTGGGGTGTGTTTGGTACTCTGGCGGCTTTTCTCGAAAGGTACCTGGGCTAGGAGGAAGACTTGACGTCGCCGCAATCAGCCTCGAGAACGAAGCGGCTCTTAATGCTTCAAACGATGTAAGCTCATGGCTTCTGCTCATCTCTCAGCTTTACTGACATCAAGTAGATCAGTCACCGTGCCGACGAATGGAAGCAGCTTGCTCGGCCAAGAGTCACAGCAATCAAAGACATCGATACAAACTTCGGTACAGCCATTTCCCACCATGATACCCAGCGGGTATTCAAAATCGGCGCCATGACCGGTTGCACTACCGGTAACATCTGCCCAGACACACGGTCGAAGTTTCGATTAGGATGGCATCCCGAAACAGACATGACTGACGAGATTTCGATTGTTGGAGACGGGGATCTATACACTGATATGTTCGGCTGGGAAGGGGACTCTGGGGCTGCTATCTTCAACGCGGGTGGAAAATGGCTCGGGTTACTATATGGTGGTCAAACCTCACTGAATTCGCGGCAGCTCTTAACGTACGTCATTCCTGCTTCGGCCATCATTGCCGACATGGTCGAATTGTCAGGCTACAAGATCGACGTTCGGTTGAAAGCCTAGGTGCGGCGGAGAGATTGGTTTAGCCAGGATGGCTGGTGCGGGGAGACAATCTCTTGCGTGTGTACGATGCTGGTCTGCTTGCCTGAAAGCAGCTTGCTCGTTGATTTTCAATAGAGGTACCCCGCCATGTTTACAGAATGCCGAGAGGTTAGCAATCACAGCTAGCTGATGGCATTAGAAAAAATAGTCAAACTGATATTCACACACAATTGCTTCTTCCGCATGATTACGCATATATATGATTTTGATTTTGATTTCCCGACTATTGCTTTACTTGTTGGTTGCCTGAGTAACTTTGACAAATGTCCCGACTTGCCTAGCCGACGAGTAGGTAGGTACAGTACTAGGTAACTGCTAATGCATAGACCCACTTTTCGCATCAAAACTAAGGGTCAACACTTCGAAAAAAACCAACATTAGCCGGTGTTTATTAATTATATCTTCAAATAAGTAGTTCATCAAAACCTTCAAGCTTAAATCTGCTTGTTTTATAGACCTAGACACGAAAGACAAAGCTAAAGTTGTTCCCTTTTAAAAGACTCCTTCTAAAGTTAAGCGAAAGCCGACTTTCTATATTTTGGCTTTAATTAGCTTCATTGAAAAATGAATATGATATAAAACCGTCTTATAACCATACGCTATTTTATGCCAATAAAAGGTTTATAATTCTCATGTACTTTTCAAGACTTATGGTTGTAGAAAGTTCAAGCTCTCAGACGGAAAGAGTTCGGGAGCGAAATGAGAGTTTGTGCATTATCAGTTCGAGTTCGAGGTGACGGTAGGTGCTGTTTTGGCGCAGGAGTTGGAAGAAAAAGAACATGGATCACTATCCAAGAATGAGAATGCGAACAGTGCACTCTTCGAATCTTCGCAATCAGCTCAACGTGGAATCCGGGTCGAGTGGATATCTTCGCCGTCGGTCCTCCCTTCCTAACACTCGCTCTTCTTCCGATTATGGAAATCTTCTGTCAAAGTGGAGAGATGCAAAGGCTAGGTCCGTCCGTCACGTCATTTTCACAGAGAGGGAAATCCTAACCTTGGTGATTGCGCCTTCGATCACGTACGCTATCGAGATGGGATGGCTCCCTTAGGCGAAACCTCTCTTTTTTCTTTCCTAGAAAAAAAAGGCGGGGGCGGGGGCGGGGGCGGGCGTGAGGGAAGGCAAGAAATTTATACGCAATATTGCTTGCAGTTGTTTGATACAACTCTTCGGATGCCTTTCGTATAGTAACGTCAGCTTGAACAAAAATTAAAAGATTATTAGCTTATATTGAAGCTCGCTGGCAAGGAATGGATGGATGGATGGATGGATAAGACTTTTGTTTGGATCGTCATATTGACTTTAGAACAACTTTTTTGCAGGTTCGCGAGATGGGTTTCCTTACATGTAGCGAAGGGGCTTGTTAATTGGTTGATTTAGAATTACAAAGGAGGGAGGGAGGCACGAGGAGGCGTATGCATACGTTGAATCATTATAGAGGACGAATCGAGCGACCTGGCTTATATGTATGGCGATAGTAAGTAACGGACTACTCTGTCTAAAGGTAATCTTCAGTCGTAAGAAAAAGGGTAATCGATATAGCCAAAGGGCTTTAATGAAGGGAGTTGATTATGTTACATGTAGACTTTTCTTGATACTAAATATATTTCAACTAACAGATTTCTGTACCCAGAAAAATGTTGAAAATTGAACTTGAGGTCGATAGCTGTAAAGCCGATTTTTTTTTAAATAAAAAGCGGTTATCAGAGGGGAGACTTTTAAAGCGAGGTCTTTTTTTTTAACGAAGAATATCGATTTCGGGATTGAGTTAGATGCGTTAGATGCGTGCGCGAAGAGTTGATAAAGAGGTGCTTTTAAAGCTCTCGGCCTTTTTTTTTTCTAGAAGCATATAGACTCGAAGACTATAATTAGATCGAGAATTTTGAATTAGTGATTATCAATTATCGATATCAAAAAGCTCTGGTTTCGGCGCTTATTTTAAAGGAACAAAACGAAAAGAACGTGCAGGGATAAGGACTGCATGCTACTGTACTAGGTACTACTAGTTGGAAGTTGACGGCATTCAACCTCGTCGCCTTCTTCGTTCGCGCCCCTTGCATTTCCCTTGCATGCAGCAGTACGTCAAAATTCCAAGCCAAACGGTTTGACAGCACCGTTGCTGATAATCGGAGATTAATAATCAAGTTCAACTGACTGCACCTGCTCCGTAGAAAATCGCTGATAAGATTATACTTTATACTTGATACTTAAAACAAAACGAAAACCTTAATCCTTAGCGAGGTGTCGCTACTGTACTGTACCGATACTAGCGCGAAAGCATAATCACCTTCCTTTTCTCCCCGGTCGATTGTTTCCAAATGCCTCGAACATACAGTACTGACCTACTCCGTAGTGGAACGTGTCACGCATGCTCTCCACGCCTTAACTTTGACTGCCGCCTCAACGTAAACAATCTTTCCATGATGCTTAGGTAGGTATCTAGCACATTTGAAAATGGGGAGGAGGCTCTGGAATACCGACTAGGTAATTCTGGCCGCCACTTAGTTTCACTAATTTTTCACAAAATGACGGGGGTTTAATTTTTTTAATTTTTTTTAATTTTTTTTTTAATTTTTTTTTTAATTTTTTTTTTTTTTTGGTTAAACTTGTAT